AAGATGGTGTGGCCTTTTGTGTGGTCGCAGTCTCCTTTCGTTGTATAGAAGTTGTTTGACTTTGTTTTCGTAACTTGGTCATATTGTTAGAAGGACTTAGAGGAGCAAACCTAGTCCGGAGTCCATTGTATGCATCATCATTTCCAAAGTCGAACCGTGGACGTGGTACATTACTAGACGTCACTGAGTCTCGCCATTCGTAGCACCATATTACAACTCTAATCAATCACCCAGGTACAGGGAATGGACGAATTACGCCTCGAGTAGCACAGATTAGGGGAGCAGGAGTGAAATAAATGTACAAGGGAGATAGCAGACGGATTGTACGGAGCAAGAGAGAGACTTTGATAGGACCCAGGGAAGGACTACGTAACAATATGACAGACTCTGGTCAACATTCCCAGCACAAGGGTGAAGGGGTTAATAAAGACAGTGTGAAATGTAAAGAGTTTTCATGAATGCCGCTCGAAGGAACACACCACACTGCATCGAAATAAGCAAAGTAAAAAGTTTAACAGGTAAAGCATGATAGGATATAGAAAATGTGAATAGCCCAATGCAGAAGGAGAAATAGCACAACTGTTTAGCATACGTTTGGTCAAAGGATTGGCTTCACTTGTCTCTTTTACGAGTTGTTGTGTGGTGCTAAGAATGGCAAGACTCACTGACGATGCCAACTACGATGCTGGCGAAAAGTCTGGGAATGTACCACGTCTACAATCCTACTTTGTAAATAATGATGCATACAATGGACTCCAGACTAGGTTCGTTTCTCTAAGTATTCCTAATAATATGACCAAGTTGCGAAAACAAGGTCAAACAACTTCACTACTTATGCTCAAAAATACCTAAATCTGAAGGGAAGGATAATAAAGACCCTAAGCAACGAGTATAGATCTTTCAAATAAACAATAGTCAATCGAGAATTAGAACGAATCATGTAGGGCAGATGCAGAAAAAGCAAAGGATAAAAGACTAAGAGAACAAAATGCAAGCAAGCGTTTAATGTAAAAACTCCATGCAGATGCATGAATCTAAAGGTCTTAGCGCCTAGTTGTAGAATGCAGCTCTGAGAACATACTGACTGTCAAACTCAGAGAGCTGATAGAACATGAAATCAAAGTTGTCAGAAAAGTCAATCACCTAATTTCATAATCAGACGCCTAATACATTATCGACGGTGCTATATTGTAGAGAAAACAAATAACCCTAAATATTAGCAGTTAAAGCACACTCATTATGGCACCATTTAACAGACCCTAAGTTTGTCCCAGCATTGAAGCCAGTCTTGCTAATTAAGAATGCTACTCGAAATGAACATTTGTGAAAAATGTATATTCACCTATCCAGCCAGCGGATTGATCGAAAGGTAGCATCTTTGATATCGGCTCCGTTGGAAAGAACATGCAATACGTGGTCCAACTGCATAACAATGTCGGCTCCAATTGCAGCCTGCAGGCAGCCTACAGAGTATTCAGGTGTAAGCAGCATCTTGGTACCGATATGTGGTGAGATGAAAGTGACGCCGGTCTCATCAACGCTAGAGAGCTCGCAAAGGGAGACCATCTGGAAGCCACCCGAGTCGGTGAGGATGGCACGCGGCCAAGACATGAATTTGTGCAATCCTCCGGCCTGGGGTTTCAGAAAGTCACCGATTAAATAAGGGAATCAACAAAGTCTGGCAGTTATGCTGAAATCATAAATGCAAATTGCAAAGAAATTTGGTGGATTAGATTTACAAACAACTTTTGGCCAGAATGAATTCACAACCAATAAGAGGAATAAGTTTAATCGAGTCCCCATTTTGTCCCACTCGTATTTACAATAGGCAGACATGAACGAGGCCAGGGATACCAAAAATTGGCATAAACTATCACCAGAATTGTAGCGAGGACAGACCGTTATTCGAGAAACGACCATCTCACCTGGCTCATGACGTCTGGTCCTGGCCGGTCGCCTAAATGATAAGTATTCCCTAAAATGATACGACAGTCGATGCTCTCCAATTGTTCCACGGTGATCCCCTTCATAGCACCCTGCGTACCCACTGGCATGAAGACGGGCGTTTCTACCGGCCCCGCCGGACAGTGGGGCAGGTGGAGAGCGGCTCGACGAGCCGAGGTCTGGGGGCACTCGGCAATGGGTTCGAACCGAAAGGCCGGTCCAAGCTGGGCGGACTGCATGGGGCTCGGCATGTGAAGAGGCTCCGTTGACAGTGTGCTGGGCTGGCTGAGCGGATGAGCTGTCGGAGTTGGACTTGGTTGATGGCTCTTTGAAGTTCCGCAGCAGATGCGAGTTTGAAGCAGCCTAGTGGGCGAACCCGAGAGCCGGCACAATGGACGCATAGATATGTCCGGTATCTGAGGCAGGAGGCAGGAGGGAGAGCCCGAAGAGATGGCCAAGTGATCAGCGTCAACCGTTGGCGAAACGCTGAAAGGATGAATTTGTTCGTCCTCAGTACGAGCAACAAGCGCAGAGCTGTCGGCCTAGAAAAGGATATCGGGAATTGTATCAAGAGACTATACAAACGTTCACAAATACTTCGTTTCCACAATATTACACAAATTGATGTGTGCTCTTTACTCCCTCTCTCTCACACACAATCCTTTAGCTTTCTAAACCAAAAGCAATCTGGATATAAATATATATATATATAATGATAGTAAAAAAGTGCGAAAATAGGTCGGAATATTCATGCCAGAGGAAGCGACTTGACGCGATGACTCGTCTTCAGCAGGTTCGTGACAAACTGGGAACTGTTGGGAATGCTTTCATTTCTAATGAAAGTGCATAAAGCAGAGATTGGAAGGTGGAACTTACTAGAAGATTACGGCTGATTCCCGTA